CTTCGAAATGAATTTGAAATAACCATTCTAGAAAATAGAAGACAGACAAGTTTAATGTGTTACAAAATATTTCATCTCACATCTCAAATCTTTACCCAAAGAGAGAATTCTCAAGAGGACAACAAGAATTATTCAGTTCTTTGACGTAGCCTAAGTATCAATAAATAAGTATTCATTCATCATTACAATGATCAAAACAACAAACAACTTCCTTTTAATGTCAGATATCAACTATGTTATCTCTCCCAAAAAAGTTTATTTATAATTTGTATCACTTTTTTTTCATTACATTAAAGACTTATAAGTAAGATTCACTTATATATCAAAACGATACATTCTCGGATATTCAATACATTTCGACAGGCGTACCTCAGGGATCAGCACTCGGGCCTCTGTTGTTCATTTGTTTTATCAATGATCTTCCGACTTACTGTTCTGCTGTTTCTCTATCGATTGTATATGCAGATGATAACAATCTTGTTATATCATAAGCTCCCCTGGAGCAATCATATGGAACTGAACATCAACTGAAAAGCACACTCTCTCTTGAAACTGGTATATTCAAGTCTTATTCAGTATGTCATCTGCTATGAAATAATTCATTGGTACATCCAAGGTACAAGAAACTTTCTCCATTCAAAGAAAAAACAGTTAATGATGGCGGTACGCCTGAGAGAACACTGCAAAATTGTTATGATGACAACCATGTTTGTTTATATACATACCACTGCATTGTCTATGTCAGGAAAAATATTACTAATATTTCTTCTTATGGAAACTCTCATGACTATCGTGCTAAAAGTAAATATAAACTACCTTAACCATTCACTAGATCATCAGTGTCGCAAACTCATCGGGGATCGATGGGTGACAGGCCCTATAATGCTCTTGATGACGATATCAAATCTGCCCCTGGCTTACATTCCTTTAAAGCTAAGCTGCAAAATCAACCTGTACTGAAAGCATACTACTCCGTTAACGAATGTCTGCAGGAATGACAATCTTCTCACCGATTGTTTGAAAAAAAACTGCTGCTTTTAACATGTTTTTGAGTATAATGGTGCTAGTAGTTGTAATTTGTGCATACTTTCCTGTTCACTAGTACTATTCTTATATTTACAAATACTTCTTTTTGACTGTGACAGTCTAGTAATAATTTTAATTTTAATGGTAGGTTTATTGGTGTCTGTCTTTGTTAAGCACATCGCCGTGTTACCTGAGTTATTATGTTACAATGTAGGCTCCTGTATAGTAATTAAACACTTCTTCAATTAATACATTGATTGATGAGAATTGATAAGAAACTTTGCTCCTGACTCTCCTGAACAATTTCCTGATGAAGAAATAGTAGTCTAATGGTATAAAAAATTTTGAACTCATGTCAAATAATTTTTCATTCATTTACTTTTTATTGTCCAACAGAGGCCAAAACTAATGTCGAAGATTTTTGGGACGATATACCCCTTTGAATCGGGAATTTAGCTTCGAGTCTTCCATCTACTTTTCTTATAAACAAAAAATTATATAGATTTCTACATAGTTCAGTTTCTGGTGAAATTTCGATGGTAAAGATCGATTCATAGTTGAGTTTTGTATCAATAGATGGCAAAAGCGAGCAAAGATGAGCTGTATGGATGACGCTATAAGTTGCATATTAAAATCATTGAAATGAATCAGTTGAGTCTTAAATATACTTAGTTTATGTGAGTATGAATCATGATTCTGATAGAACTCGTTAATGAAAGTTAGTGATTTAAATCATCAATTTCATTGATCATACTTTGTTGCCTTTCGCCATCTAGTTTTGGCTATCTGAAGGCAACCGCTATTTGTATATCAAATACGTGGGTATTTCTTTCTCATGCATCGCATTCAATTCGAAAGGCTATCTATAGTCTTCGCATGGCAAGACCTTTGTATAAGAACCTCAGGTATTAAGAATGTGAAATAACATTCTTTTGTACAATATTTAATGAAACAAAATCGGACCTAAAACTTAAGCAATGCTAGAAGCATATATGTATAGCTTTGTCATCTACAAATGTTCGTACGGATTTTCTGCAATTCTGCACAGTCGTTTCAAATATGTTCTTTCTGGTTCCCCTGTACTTGTTCTGGAAGGCACAGCAAATGAAATTGAATCAGTTATTGCTTCAATAAAAACGACCGCTATTTTAGCTTCCATATTCAGAAATACAGCATTCAACAACCGTTCAAGGAATGATACTCTGAAGGAATTCGATTTTCAATTAGCGGAAGTCATCGACTTTATGTTGATGATAGACACTACCGTGCAATGATGAGTAGACAAACATCCCGAAACTGGTCTTCAAGTGTGTTTCAATAATTGAAAATCTATTGCGGCAGTATCGCCAACAGCATATGCAGGAATAATTTCAGTGAAGAATCCTGCACTGACACCTGTGGGATATAATCCAATGCCCTTCGTGGTATTAGCCAGGAGAGTAGTTGTTTTCTGATAGGTGTCAGTTCATTAACCTACACTGTAGTGAAATGAGATAGGTCTGAACGTATTATTCTTTCAGATGATTTGAATTTTCTTCAATGACAAATGAATATTACATTTATAAGTAGTACCAAATTATTTCTCCAATAATACGTTTGAATTCAGAATCCAATGTATTTTGCTTGTAATAGTGTCAGTGTTAGAGTAAGGATTACAGTTTATTATTTTCAAGAACCAATGCACAAGAATATTCATCATATCGTTTTACTATATCACACAAGTATGTGCATTTCACTCAAGTGCTGAATGATGATAGCAAATGAGCTCCTCCTATCTTCATTTAGCGAATTTGGACACGTTTCAAAACCCTTTTAAAATAAAGTTTTGATAATTGTGAAAATTATACAGTGTTTCGATTTTCCAATCATAGTGAACATTAGTTTTAGTAAAACATCGTTATATCAGAAAATATTTTACTGGATGTTTGAAGTCATAACTATGCACAAACTAAAGGTCTGTTGTAGAATTCATTGAAGGTATCTGGTTATATCAGAAAATATTTTACTGGATCTTTGAAGTCATAACTATGCACAAACTAAAGTTCTGTTGTAGAATTCATTGAAGGTATCTGACCTTGTAGACCAACCTGCAGCCGGAAGAATGTGTTATATGTTCATGTGTACTTTGAAAATGGCAGTATCCACGCCACTTTACCACAAAACCTCTTCCATTCATCTGCTCTGAGTTTGTGACGTGGCAGGGTGGAGAAGCTTTTTAATTTGGTTAGGTCAGTAAAAAAAAATTTACAGCGATAAAACGCTTTCCAACAGCAATAAAACTGACACCCTTTCAGCCTATTCTCAAAAAAGCAAGAAACATCTTTCAAGTGACTAGAGACCAGTCGCTTTGCTATTAGTGATATCAAAAATCATGGAGAAAGCCGTAAACCTCCATATCCTTGAATATTTGGAAGACTTCAACATCATGAGCCTTTCATCAATATGGCTTTTTGTTTGAAGGTGATAGTCATAACTATGCACAAACTAAAGGTCTGTTGTAGAATTCATTGAAGGTATCCGACCTTGTAGACCAACCTGCAGCCGGAAGAATGTGTTATATGTTCATCCCCGATCTATTCGCTGCTGATGAAGCAGTGTGTCACTTGCTGTGTACTTTGAAAATGGCAGTATCCACGCCACTTTACCACAAAACCTCTTCCATTCATCTGCTCAGAGTTTGTGACGTGGCAGGATGGAGAGGCTTTTTAATTTTCAAAATAAAATGCTCATTATTTTTTTTTCGAAGATTTTTTGTTTTCCCGATATAGTATAAGATGGTGGACGCTAGACATAGGTAGTTCCGGTTTTTCCCTGAATAATGAAAATTGTAACCTTGGTTGTGAATTTTTAGGTTTGGAAGTTTCAAGGATGTTTGTTATACGCATTTCAATTCTATCTTTTAGAATGAGAATATTCAATAAACGAATAGTGCTTAATGTCTGGACCCTTTGCGCAGAGGCTAAAGCCAAAAGAAGTGTTAACCTTAAAGTTAATTTTCTCAGATCCAAGGACTCTAGTGGAAATAGACTCTAGAATAATGCTCCAGAACTGGTTTTGGGTCCCATAATTCTTTGTATTTGAGGAATGTTGGTTCATTTCTAAATTAGATTTAGAATTTATGGAAGAATAGTTTGCTCTTTTTTCCAGTTAGCTATTCAGGAATTCTAAGATTTTTCAGTTACTGGGTGGAATATGAAATTTTTTTCACCCTTGCAAAATTTACACCACTTGGTGTAAGTATATTTATATTGTTTTTGAGTATTAAGAGTCAATGACGCTGTCATGGTGTCTTTAACTAATGTAAAAATGTGCTTTCCTCTGAAGGCTTTCCTGATAAAATGGCTACCCCCAGGATAAGCTGCCTCCAAAGCGGGTGGGGTTTTCTGAAAGGCGACATAAGTACTGAGGGTTTTTGCACAAATATGAAAATGTCAGAAACAATCATGGATTCTAGTTTGGGAAACCATGGTTGTGATTTCCACATTGGAACAACTACAATGTTTACATTACCGTTCTCTATTTTTCTAAAAACTTTTGAAATCAGTGAGAAAGGTGGAAATATATATGCTTTAAAATTTTTCCATGTGAATTCTCAAGAGTTGTCATACTCAAACTCATTTCCGAATACTAAGGATTCCAGTGCTTCATTATCAGATCAGAAAATCGAATCTGCTTTTTGTAATTGTGAGGGCAAAATGTACAGGGGTTGAGAAAAACTCAGAAGCTTCGAAACAATCCGAAGTTTCGAATAATAAACTTGAGAATATCAGCTTCCTACGCAGGATATTAAAATATACACTTTATTAATAATGCCATATATTCCAGATGTACAATATTATTTTGGTAGCTGTAACTGAGGTATTCTGAGTAGCAAAAATATATTTTTTACATTGCAATGAACGGCAAGCAACTGTACTATAAAACGTTCTTTTTCATTGTTAGAGTCACATGTTCAATACCCATTCAATTTACAGGAACGTGTTCTCCGATACATTGATGGCTTACCCCATAATTTGGATCTAGGCGGCGGTCTGAAAATAAAAGCAAACCATGATCAAGAACCCGACAGAACCTCCAGACAGCAATCTACGATTGTTTTGCCCGATGATCCAAAAGACAGAGAAGATGCCCTCAATGATGCACTCTTGGATAGACTCACCGAATACGCAAAAACACATACGCTGGAGTTTAGATTTCTTGATGAGAGTGTCAATGAATCTGCAGAAGAAGGTAATTGAGAGGAATGCAAAATTATATGGATGAGGTTAAGGGTGATAATGAAATATGACATTTTTCATGAACATTATTTACTGTTTTCCATCATTATATATGAATTGAAAAAATTGATGAATGAATCAATCGAATACATGCTAGTAAATGAAAGGGAAGATATGAATAAAAACCCGAGGAACATACAATGATTTGAATGAATCACGTGTTGTTTACTGTGATATATTTTCTAATGCTGATAATGAGCTAATATATTTTCTTCACAGCACATTCTGTCAGATCATTCCTCTCATTTCTTGACTCTATTTTGAATCAATATCATTCCATGTATTATTTTTCAGCAGGAAAATAAAAGTCTTCTGAATTCTCTATTTCGATAAATTGTAAAAATCTGTCACGTTTTTGAAGGGAAGGTTTCAGATCTGTCTCAAAACCATGTAATTTAAAATATATGTTCTTTCAAAAACAGAACAAGTACCTCTATCGACTAACTGACTTACCAAGTATGCAGTTTCGAATTGATATATTCAGGAGATGGTTGCTGTGAATTTTCAAATCAAACTCATGGATTGTTTCGACTTGTGAAAGGTCAGTGTACAGGTTAGGTTGGGTGTAGTGTGAGAAGTTTCTATTTGACCCTACATTGCAATTTGCAAGTTTACCAAGTGAGCCCAGCTTCCTAAAAAAACTGATTGGCTCATTTGTAAAATCTTAGATAGGGGCTGCATTCTCCAACTTTGAAAAAAATTTAAATTATATTTCAATGCTTAAACTACGATTTCGAAAAAAGTCATTTCCAGAGTTTCTTTCAAGTGACTAGAGACCAGTCGCTTTGCTATTAGTGATATCAAAAATCATGGAGAAAGCCGTAAACTTACATATCCTTGAATATTTGGAAGGCTTCAACATCATGAGCCTATCATCAATATGGCTTTTTGTTTGAAGGTGATTGACAATGTTTCATGATGAATTTCACTAGTTCGGACTTCCATTGTCTACTATATAAAATGATTTGAAATCCCTGAAACAACTATAAAAGAAGAATTGAAAATGAATAGCTGAAAATTCTTGATGATGGGTTTCCATATGTTGCGTATTTCTACGCTGGTTTGGCTGAATACGTTGTTGCACGAAATGTTTGCGGCTTCCTTGAATTTTCTCCTAAATCAATGTTCCTCTCTGTGGGACCACTCCACGTTATTCCATATGAATTTAGTCTCCAGCTTTCCAGCTATTCAAATCCGACGTGGATCACTATTTTCGCACAGGCACAGCTCTCAGAGCGCCTTAAGAATTTTCCTGTTGTGCTTGTATTTTAACCTCAAAAAAAATGAAAATAGTCACATAATTGTATTTGTATACTTTGGACAAAGTTGGCAGGATGGAACTATGCAGAGTAAGGATTAC